TGATTACATCATCATGGTTTGCTGCTTTTACTAAGGAAGATTCCATGAATTTTAAAGACAGATTTATTTTGTAAAGTAACATTTATTCTTGGCAAAAATAGCTTCACAACTAAATGGATTTTTTTGAGCTTATTAATGTTCTATAACATGTTCAATCTTCATCCAAAAGAAAATAGATTTCTCAGTTAAATATTAATGTTTTCTAATGTCAAGGGCAGGAATATCATATGGTCAAATATGGGGAAAGTAGGCATTAATCATCAGCATTAACCATTAACATATAATCCACATTCTGATAAAAATATTTATTCATGCAAAAAGACTAGACTGAGATCCTAATACAGGTTTAAATGCTCTCGGATGGGCTGAAGAGCTATAAAGCAGAAGAACCAATTTGGTCTAGTGGTTAAGGCACCAGCCTAGAAACTGGGTGACTGTGAGTTCTAGTCCCACCTTAAGATATAAAAGACAGCTGGGTGATCTTGGCCAAATCACTCTCTCTCAGCCCAACTTACCTTACAGTATTGTTGTGGAGAAAATAAGATAAAACTTTTACAATAAAAAAAAAAAAGAAAAAAAAAGAAAATAAGAGAAACGTGTGTTGGATATATTTGCTGCCTTGAATTATTTGTAAAAATAATAAAAGCAGGATACAAACAAACCAACATAAAAAAGAATGTAGAGAATTCTGCTGGAATTCATCAAAATAAATGAAAGGAATTCAAATGACTTAGATGAGTGTGTCAACCAAAGATTAGAACATGTGTTATTTTGGAAAGGTGCTTTTATTTCCTTGACAGTGGCCCCAAACTGATTTTATCTAGGAACTGGCATGCCAAGTAATTTCAGTTATAATGTGGGTGTAGTAATAACCAGGCAAACTGTATGTGTTTAATGCCAAATGCATCTTACACTGCACCCAGGCATTTCACAGAAAACTATGAAAAACTATTGTGGCCCAGTTCTGACTTGAAAGGGAAATTCCTGAATTCTTAAATAATTAAGAGTTATCCTGAACCAGAAAAGCACATCCTAATTTATAACTGATCCATTAATATACTAATTAGCCTTAAGAGATGGACCTATGTAAAATGCATTATGGCTAACTTTGAACAAAGGCATACTTTAAACACAATTCTTGATTACTGTAAAATATAACATTTAAACTATTGGTGTTATTTACTGCTGTACTATTATTGTATCACTATCTTGTAATCAAATGCTTTATCTGAGAGTTAGTTTCGTAATTTCTTTTGAGCAGCACAGCCACAGCTCAGCAAATCAAGTCCATTTAGTGTGAACTGTCTGTTTATAAATATTTTAAACTGGACAGTTAGGCTTCCTAACCCAGGAAGCTGTTGCAATGCATGCACACAGTTGTGCTTATCTCAGTGCCACAGGCTTGCACAAAAGCTGAGCAAATATATATTTCCATCTTGTGCTGTAAAACTCAACTAATGACTCAATCCAAAAATAGATTTAATTTTAAAAAGAAATCCTGAGGCCACAAAAAGTTTTCTATCAGTGCCCCAAAACATACACATAACAAACTTTTTTAAAAACAGAGTTCTGGGGTAGAAGCAAGGTGCAATCACTACAAGCCACAACTATTATGGGTGGAGCACAGTAATGTTGTTTACGAATGAAGGGAAAACTAAGGTTAATAATTTGAGCTGAGAAAGTGTGCGCAAGAACCAGAAGGCAGAAGAGACATACATACTGTAACTATCCAACTTTCTGCTCCCACCTAGTGATCATCCAGCAATTTACATCCTAAGGAACAACTTCAGTGACTAATTCTACACATAGGTAGGCTATTTTCCAATCAAAACTGTATGGCTGGACAGCTACTAGTCAGGAACACTGTTGCTGTTTCTACAGAAGTTTAGTAAATGGTTTGCAAAAAAAAAAGTTCTAAATTTATTAGTTCCATAAACTAATGTCTATGTTGAGCATTTTAACTTAAAACTGGAAGGAAGTTATAAAAGAGGAATTGTTTTCATCCTTACCTGGATTTCTAGTTCTGCAATATGCTGCTGGAGTTCTGCCACAGCTGCTATGCTGTCAGCCTCTCGGAGTCTTACAGCCATCACTTCTTCTTTATTCTAGGAAAAAGAAGTGATAAGTGACAAGCTGAGTCACATTGCAGGAAAATTGATGTAGAAAACAAATGGATGGATATTTATATTTAAATCATTTTACAGATAGTATAAGCAACTGGACTCTTATCAACATTCACCCTATAAAAATGATCAGTTTACAGGTTGTCCTTGATTTAGGACCACAACTGTGTCCAGAATTTTCCATTACTAAGCAAGGCAGTTGTTAAATGAATCATTCCTGCTTTTGTGACCTTTTTAGTTATAATTGCAAAGCAAATTACTACAGTGAATCCTGAGGTCTTTAAGTGAATCTGGCTTCCCCCATTGACTATGCAACGTTGGAACCCTGGAGGTAAGGTTGCAAATGGTGATCACATGTCCACAGATTTCTGCAAATGTTGTAAATACATACTGGAGATGCTGCAATAGTTGTAAGTTGTAAGAGGACAACTGTAAGTCATTTTTTTCAGTGCCTTTGTAACTTTGAACGGTTGCTAAACAAATGGTTGCTTGTAAGTTGAGGACTACCTGCATATTAATTTTTCTCAGGATTATATTTTCTCAAATACGGAATAGATTCTTAGTGATGAGAAAACAGACTCTGCCCACTTCAGTGACACTACTGGCTTGTCCATTCTAACTCTTGACCATGTCACCGATTTAAAAAACTTCTTGCCTTTGGCTACTCTAAAGCTGACTGGCTTTGTTGTAAACCACAATCAGCACAAGAATACTGAACTAAATGACTGTACCTTCCTTCTCATAATCTGTGCCCTCCTTCCCGCTAAACCCAACTAGATAAACATCTGTCGCATATCTGACCACTAAGCTTTCTTCCCTCAGCAAATAATAAACAGGAAGAGATTCTGATAGGGATCAAAGCAGGAATAAGTGGTTAATGCACAGAAAACACCACCTTAACTATATCAGGCTCATCAATGTTGATTATTTATGGAAAAAACCCAGATGCACATATACTTCTATTCTGACCCAGATATTGTTCTTTGTAAGGTTGTCCACAATTTGAAAACAATATCTATTGCAGAATTCCTACAAGTTTATTCCTACAACTTTTGAGGACCCAGTTTGTGGGGACAATAAGCTGACTTTGTATAAATATACAAATGAAGGCTATTGCTTAACGCATTGTAAGCCGCCCTGAGTCTCCGGAGTAGGGCGGCATATAAATCAAATTAAAAAAAAAAAAAAAGTTACTGAACTGTCTAAACACAATAATATGCTTATTTAAGAAAAAAAATTGCTAATCAGGGAAACAACTTCTATCCAGCCCCTCCATTTCTGAAATGTATCTCTATCAACAAGAGTTTTATCTCCTCTCTCTCTTTTTTTTTTTTGTTAGTTGCGAAGTCGTGTCTGACCCAATAAAACCCAAACCCAAATAAGTGACACAATCAGAAATTTGGATTAGCATTTGTTCAGATCTAACAACACAGCAATGGATTACCTACAGGCAAGGAAATGTATGGGATACACATACAAACAATAAATATCGCAATACCACTCTGTTTAATCAAAACATGATTGTATGCATGGTGCAGAAAAGCTGCAAAGTTTTCCCCAAGCCGTGAGAAGGAAAATGTCTGATCTTTTTTATTAAATAAACCCAGTACTTTAAGTTAGTACACTAATCATTGAAAACTAGGAGATTGTATAGAGCATCTCACTACACTTCCTAGAAAGCTATATAATGTATAAAATAAATGTATAAAAAAAAGCATGATAAGATACATGATTTTCTAAAATTAAAATCTTCATCTAATGTATAAATGATATACTATTTGACAACTTAATAAACGCTACCCAATATTAATGATAATTAGGCTTTAAATCTACCATTCTTCCTGAAAAAGATGTCCGGTTACACTAATTCAATTAATGTAGATTTTTTTTTTTAGTTTACAGATACAATATTCAATGCAATACAATTCATTTATCCATTGTCCATACCTTGCATTCAATCTCTGCTTGCTTTCGTTTTGATTCAGTTAACTGTGCCAAGAGCCCTTTGTTTTGTGCAGATAAATACTGGACCTTTCCTTGAAGGTTTGTGATCTCTTGCTCAGCCCTCCGTAAATGGTTGCTATTGATCTGGTTCTGATGAAGAATGAGGCAGACGAATATTAGTTGCCATTCAGCCAATATAATGCTTTGAAATGGAGCATGGACGACAGAGCCTGGAGGTAACAGTGATCAAGGCTCAAAAATAATGCTTTTAAGTTCTACACGCAATTCTGAATTATCTTAAAAACATCTTCAATGAGCCCTCCTTCCAAACACAGTTCAAAATATATCCTGCCTACAAGCAGGATATATTTCCAAAACTAACATTCTAGAACATGGGTGTCAAACTTGCCACATCATGTTGCTGTCACATGACATTTTTCCCTTCGCGGAGCTGGGGTGGGCATGGCCTGTGTATGATGCCTCTGGCCCATGGGCTGCAAGTTTGACATCTCAGTTCTAGAAGGTTCTAAACACCTGGGGGCACAAAACTCAGCCTGTTATTTTTCTACATGAAGCTCCTAATACGATAGCACCTGATCAAACACCCAAATCGTAATACCTGGAATATTGCATTGTGATGGTATGGACTTGAATACTTGGTCAAAAAAGCTGCAGAAAGCCAAACTAATCAACTTTACAGTAAAACCAGGTTTTATATGGTTGAAAATGGTACAATTTATCTTAGCTACGGACCAGTTTTTTATAAACAATGAAAACTTTATAATGATAATAATATAACAACAAATAACATGGGATTAGATGCTCCAATGAGATAATGTGGGATGTATATTGCTTCATGTCTGTTTATAGACTCATAATTTACTTTCTTGCAAGGACCACCTTTCAATATATACTGTCTCTTTCCCCCTATAGATGTTGGGTCCCAAGAACGTCTCACGTGGAATTACAGGTAGTCCTTGATTTACGACTGCAATTGAGTCCAAAATTTCTGCTGCTAAGCAGAAGAGTTAAGTGAATTTTACCCCATTTAACAACCATTCTTGACACAGTCGTTAAGTTAACCACTGCAGTTGTTAAGTTAGTGACACGGTTGTTAAGGGAATCTGGCTTCCCTATTAGTTTTGCTTATCAGAAGGTTACAAAATGGGATTACATGAGTCTGGGACACTGCAACCATCATAAATACATGCCATTGCCAAACAACCAAATTTTGATTACGTGACCTTGGGGATGTTGCAATGGTCGTATGAAAAACGGTCGTGAGTCACTTTTTTCAGTGCTTTTTCACTTTTTTAACCCCTTTCCTGCTAACCAATCTGCTGCCTCTTTACCCTCTGAAAAGCAGCCCTTCATCCTGGGATTCCAGACTACATTCCACCACAATAAACCACCTTTATTACTACTCTCTCTATTTTCACAATTTTATGCCTACATCCTTATAAGTAATTACCCAGTAAACCCTTTATTTATTTTACTATAGTATAACACAAACTTTATTACAAGGCAAAGCTTTCATGAGCACAGCTCACTTGATCAGATGATGACAGTTTATAACTTAATATAATGTGTCGATTGGGTTAACTACTATAAGATTCCTCCTGATTTGTTTGCCACACTTTTCTAACATGTTCCTTCTCCCACAATTTTTTGCAGAATCAGTCATTTATCATTCTATCACATATGCTCACTTTCTCCTTCAAGCTCAACTCTGATAAACTTCTAAGACATTGTGTGTTAAGTATAAGACATTTTTCTGCCCTAAAATATTAAATACATACTATATATATAGTATTTCCTGTTTGATGAAGCATTAGCCATTGCATTTTTATTTTATCTTTTACTTTCACAGCTGCTGCTTTTTGCTTTTTCTTTCTTTTTTCTTTGCCATCTCTATTTCTGTTAAGTGCTACATTACTATCAACTGCAGATTTTAGTTTAGCATTCGTCTTTCTGTTGAATGTTTATGGTTTATTCTGTTTTTCCTAAAAAGATGGGGAAACCTATAGTTTCACAGACTCTATTTAACTGCAACTGCTGAAGTTATAACATTTGCAGGGTGGATTTTTTTTTGGTTTTTGTTTTTGTAAAAGCTTAAAGACCCTTTAGCTTTTTCTTCATGTGATTATGGAACTGAAGATAATGATTCTATTGACCTTAAGAGGACTTTCCATTGTTCCTTATTTTTCTGATTCATCATTTCTTCCTTTGCAATACTTTTCACTTTCTTGAGAATTTTGTCTTGATTGTTCTGCTTTGCCTGGCATTCTGCTTTCTTAGTCGTACCCTGTTTCCCTGAAAATAACACCTCCCTGGATAATAAGCCCAATCGGGCTTTTGAGCGCATGCACTAAAATAAGCCCCCACTGAAAATAAGCCCTCCCTGAAAATAAGGCCTCCCCAAAAATATTTAAACGCATGTGCAGCTGGTCCCCATCATTTCCTCTGGTTAGGGTTAGGGAGACAGCTGGAAATCGGGTAAGATGGGAAGAGGAGCCCTGTCTTGCTCCACGCGCCTCAAAATAATAAGTCCTCCCTGAAAATAAAGCCAAGCGCTTATTTCAGAGTTCAAAAAAATATAAGACAGGGTCTTATTTTCGGGGAAACATGGTATCAATCACCAACTATTTCTTAGCTACTGCTTCAACCTGACATTTTTACTAATGCCTCTATTACTAATTTTTTTATTGTTGTAGGATAGCAATTCAAATGACAAACTCTTCTGTTTTACTTTTATCTTCTCTAGACTCATCCTTTTTAGCATTCTTGCTTCTTCTACAACAACTCATTTTTATATTATGCCTTTCTACCTGCTTCCAGATCTTCTCTTTTTTATTAGCTTCTATAATCAATTCTTTCTTAACAGCAATGTTCAATTTCTTCAATTTTATCATTTTTTAAAAATCCAGCTGTCTTGTTTCCAGAATATACTGTACATTCCCTGCTTTTGAGTAAGCCTCACAGATATAATGCTTTTTTCTCTTCTACACTCTACTGGATTTCTTGTTACTGTTAATGTAAAAAGCTGACCACTGGAACTTCAGAACCAAATCATTAGTATTCCTAAAAAGGTCCATTGTGTCTTTGAACGGTCGCTAAGCAAACTGGTTGTAAGTTGAGGATTATGGGTACTTTGCTCCATCTTGCAATCAAGGCTGATTATAGTTTTTCCTTGTGTTTAAATTTAGTGGTTTTTTTTTCTCATTACACTGTTGCACCACCTCCTCTTGAATGAGATGTAAACTAATCTCTTGAAATTTAGCAGCTCTCTTAAAAGTTGACAAAAATGTGTGGAGATCTTTTGCAGCCACATAAAAGATGAAGTGTGTCATATGAATCTTAAACTGCAGTATTTCCTTTTCATGATATTGTGCATTTTTTTAATCAATCAATTCTGTCTGAAATGTACCTTTCTTTCAACCCTAATTCCCTAAGGCTATGTTGTTTTTTTAACATATCTAAATATTTGAGGCCTGGCTGATCTGACAGATTTGACACCTATGGGTACTTTTGGTTTTATATGCCTTTGTATGTGTTTAAAATGAAATTGGTACAGTAATCAGGAATAGTCTCGTATCTTCCCAGTGGAGATTTATAAGGCTTAAATAAATAGGTTATTTATTGTTTATGCTTCTGAGAAAAACAGAAATCTTATTTAAAAATATATGGGAAATATATTTTAATAATGTTTATCGGTTGCTCTATGGCAGGGGTGTCAAACTCAAGGCCCGTGGGCCAGATTCGGAATCTGTTTAAATCTGGCCTGTGGGGCTGGCCTGGAAATATCAAAGGACTGGCCCGTAGTTCCTCTGCTGGCCGAAATGGCCCATGGGGGGGCGCATGACGCCCCCGTGTGGCCCATTATTCGCCTCCCCAGCCTCCAGTAGCACTCTGCCAGCGAAAAACGGGCCGTGCGAGGCCTCCACACAGTCTGTTTTGGCCGGCAGAGTGCCGGAGGAGGACTGGTTTGGACTGGATTACAATTATGTGGCCTCAAATAAGCGCCTGATCTGGATAGAAAACAAGCAACATCCTAAATTTCTAATGATATACATTTCTTATACATTTATTGACTCAATATTGTTTAAAATGAACGATTTAAATCTGGTAAACTATTGATACCTTCTTATGGCGCTTATAGAACACTGACTTTAAAATCAGGTTATTAAATTTTGTGCAAGGTATAGACCCTTCTTTTTAATTAATGTAAATATTAATTTTTGTTGGCTCAATGACTGTAGGCTTACCATCATTCACCCACTTCAATCTGGATTTATCAAAAACAGACAACTATTGGACAATTTACTTTTATCACTCACTATGTGTTTTGTATATAGCTCCAGCTAAATTGGATTTTGCTGAGTTAATATATTAGGATGCTAGAAAACTGTTGACATGATTCAGATTAATTTTGCAGAGTAAATTATCTCCAAGTATAGTTTTTTTGTCTTCTTTTATTAAATAGATTGTAATGTATTAGTTGCAACCTATTGTTTTTTACTTCTTGATCGGCGGTTTTTTTTTTTTACTTCTTGATTTTTTTTCATTTTTTTTCCTCCTTCTTTATTCATTTTACTTCTTGATCAGCTGAAGAATTACAGTGTGGTGCCCATTAGATTGCTTATTTTTTCCACTACTATTTGACAGTTCTTAAACCATTAGCAATCATTCTTAGGTAGTTTTATAGTATCACTGGCAGATATTCTGGCAATGGCAGATTCAGGGTGAAAATTATTTTTATATGCTGATGATATTCTAGCAATTCTGGATATATATATTTTTTGACATCTTTGCCTAATTTGATAGAGGTGGTTCAACAATCCAGAAAATATTCAAAATAAATCATCAATTGGAGAAAAATCTACCATAATTTCCTTCCTTGGGATCTGATATATAAATAGATCGATGTTCGAAGACAGTCCACCAACGACAAGAATGTTATAATTTATCAGAATTCCAGAACTATCTTTAGATAATTGAAAAACATATTTAAAGTTAAAATTACTGATATGATTTATGGAATAGAGTCAGAATAGCCAATAAAGGAACTTCAATGGATCCAAATTTTTAAAAAAAGTTTGCTTCTTTGGACTTTTTTTTTTTATTTGATTTATATGCCGCCTTTCTCCGAAGACTCAGGGCGGCTTACAATGCGTTAAGCAATAGCCTTCATACTTTTGTATATTTTATACAAAGTCAGCTTATTGCCCCCACAATCTGGGTCCTCATTTTACCTACCTTAGAAAGGATGGAAGGCTGAGTCAACCTTGAGCCTGGTGAGATTTGAACTTGCAGAAATTGCAGGCAGCTGATGTTAATAACAGTGCTTTAGTCTGCTGTGCTGACAGGGCTCTGGTAGCCCATTTAATTAATGTTGAAATTAATTCAATGTACAATATGGCTACACTGATTTTGCGTAACATATTACAAGTCTATTGAACTATTCAATGAATGTATCAGAAACCCATATTTTCTTTCTTGGAAATTTAAGGAATTAGACTGTCAAATGCACTAACTGATTTGATTTAGTCATGCACAGTTTGGGTTTCTTTTTGGAAGAATATATTAATATATAAGTAGGAGTCTGGATAAATGTTTTCAAGCTAAAATATGTTAATTATTTTGAACTACAGGTAGTCTTCGACTTACGACCACAATTGAGCCGAAAATTTGTTGTTAAGTGAGACATTTGTTAATTGAGTTTTATCTCATTTTACGATCTTCCTTGTTAAGTGAATCACTGCAGTTGATAAGTTACTAATTCAGTTGTTAAGTGAATCGGACTTCCCCACTGAGTTTGCTTGTCACAGCACAAAAGGGGATCATGTGATCCCGGGCACAGCAATGGTCATAAGAATGAACCAGTTGCCAATCACCTGAATTTTTATCACATGATCATGGGGTGCTGCAAAGGTTGTAACTGTGAAAAAGGTCATAAGTCACTTTTTCAGTGCTACTGTAACTTTGAATGGTCACTAAATGAACTGTAACTTGAGGACTACCTGTACATTCCAAAATTGTAGAAATTGACTATAAAGTAGGCTTTATATAATTAAAAAAAGATACCCCCCCCCAAAAAAACCTGGAAAAATTGAAAAGCCAGGGGTGAAATGCTTCTGGTTTGGACCGGATTGCCTGATCTGGTAGCGATGGTGACGGGTGGTTCGGAGAACCAGTAGCAAAAATCCCTGCGGGGGGGGCCCCCATGCCCAGCTGAGCCGCGCGATCATCAGAGGCTTTTTTTTTTTTTACTTTTAAAAGCATTTTTTCTACAACTCTTCGGCCAAAAAAAGGCTTTTAAAAGTTAAAAAAAACAAGCTTCTGATGATCGCGCGGCTCAGTTGGGATCGTCAGAGGCTTTTAAAAGCATTTTTTTCTGCAACCTCCTCGGCCAAAGAGGTTGTACGAAAAAATGCTTTGAAAAGCCTCTGACGATCCCAGCTGAGTTGCCTGATCGTCAGAGGCTTTTAAAAGCATTTCTTCCGCAACCTCATCGGCCGAAGAGGTTGTAGAAAAAAATGCTTTTAAAAGTTAAAAAAAAAAACATTGGCCACGCCCACCATCAAATTACCCTCCACCAAGCCATGCCCACAGAACCGGTAGTAACAAATTTTACATTTCATCACTGGAAAAGCCCATCCCCATCTACCTATGGTATGGCCACATCTAATCTACATAGCTAACCTGATCAGTATGGCCATAAGTCTAGCTGATCCTGATGAAAGGTTCACCTGTTTGAATAAACTATTATTTCTCATAAACAAGACACAAATCAAAATTAAACAGTAAATTGATTGAAATCTGAGTATGTTATATTCATTAGGTTTTGCTGTTTTGGATTAAATGTGACAAGTCCTAATAGCTTCAACCAGCATATCCAGCGGGAATGACTCCAGGAATTGTAGTTCATGAATTTCTGAAGAACTACAATATCTTCACAACTTGCCTACCCAATGTGTATAAACACTTGATCCTGTATGTGTGTGTCTGTGTGTGTGTGTGCATATGCATTGCTTATATATGATCACACAGAACACCTATACCCCCTACTGGCTGAAAAGATTAGAAAAACCGTTGTTTAAACTAGGAAACATGATAAAAGTCATAAATGAACTTAAATTCACACTGCTTTTTAACATGCAGTACTATTATATCATAAAATTGCTCAGTGTTGTTCTTTTTTTAGATCCTGCATCTTCAATCATTGCTTTTTACTGTTATAACATACTAGGCCCTATTGGACCAAAAGCAAAGCAATCTACCCTTTAACAAAAAGCTAAATGTTTTAATTTAGAAGATACATTCTCAATGTGTGTTTTCTGGATCTAAGTATTCATATTCAAAACATATAATTTAAAGATCTACTTGTAAACATCCAACAATAAACATTTGAAAATAAAAAAACAAAATGCCCATATCGGTGGTGAGGGGGGAAAAATACTCTAGGCCTGTGATGGTGAACCTATGGCACGCGTGCCACAGGTGGCACGCGGAGCCACATCGGTGGGCACGCGAGCTCAGCTCTGGCACACATGCGTGCGCTGGCCAGCTGATTATCGGGCTTTCCTGTCCCACCGGAAATCAGCAAACGGGCCGTTTCTGGCTTCCGGAGGACCTCCGGGAGGGTGGGGAAAGCCGTTTTTGCCTTCCCTAGGCTCCTAGAAAACCTCTGGAGCCTGGGCAGGGCGAAAAATGGGCCTACTGGGCCAACTGTGCCATCGAGTGCCGAAAGTGTGGCGAGTGCGAGAGGGAGGTGTCACACGTGCATGTGCGGGGGGGCAGGGCACATAGAATTATGGGTGTGGGCACACAAACAAGCAACCCTCCCATGCTCCCCACGCTTTTGGCACATGATGGCAAAAAGGTTAGCCATCACTGCTCTAGGCAATACCTATATGGATGAGATCCCAACTCAGGCGTCATAAGGTAGTGTGTAAAACTCTTTATAAAGCAAGTTAAAATAAATACAGTCTGTGTTTAAGTTGTATCTGCCCTTAGAATTTGGGGCAGATTACAGAGAAGAAAAATGGGTTTTATTAAGGTTCTAGAGCAGGGAATGTCAAAACTGCTCGCATCATGGGCCAAATCGTGACATATCGCAATGTTTTTTGCCTTTGTGGAGCACGGGGTGGGCGTGGCCTGCATGCCAGTTTGACAAGCCTGTTCTAGAGTGTACCAAGAACTCTTCAAAAGAAAAAAGAAGCAAAGATTTGCTGATACCTATCACATTTGATATATCCAAAAATGGAGGACCAACCATTATCATTCAAAGTTAAACAGTGCTGAAAAAAGTGATTTATGACCATTTTCACACGACCGTTGCGGCATCCCCATAGTCCCATGATCAAAATTCAGATGCTTGGCAACTGATTTATATTTATGATGGTTGGAGTGTCCTGGGATCACCTTTTGCGACCTTCTGACAAGCCAAGTTAATAGGGAAGCCAGGTTCACTTAACAACCGAGTTACTAACTTAACAACTGCAAGAAAAGTCTTAGGATGGGGAAAAACTCACTTAACAAATGTTTCATTCACCAACAGAAATTTTGGACTCAATTGTGGTCGTAAATCGAGGACTACCTGTATTTTTTTTTGTCCTCCCATTAAACCTTACGAAATTTTATGCGGGGAAAACAGGGAACATAATCCAAAATCATCCAATGATCATCACAGATGGAGGGTACCTTAAATTATAGGGTTATGAGCTCTCCTGTCCCAAAAAACACTAGTAATTTCATTTGTGTTTTTCAAATATTGCGTTCTCATGGATATACTATGCAACACCAGATATTCAATAATTTTTGTTTCTTACCTGAGTTTCCATTTCCATCATCCTTTGTTTTATTTCTTTTAACTCTGCTTGAGTTTCTGCTTCTCGGAGTCTGACTGTCATTAGCTCATCTTGAAGTTCATTTACAGTATTTTTTTTAGGTGGGTCTTTCCATCTTCCAGAAGTGCGAATGAGATGACGCTAAAAAACATGGCTATATTTTAATATACTTCCACAGATTTTGTTATTTATTCCGCAGTGCAATATTTAGTTTCTCCATATCTGCTGCTGTGCTCAAGAGTTATTTTTCAAATTTTACATTTCAGCAATGTTATTATTATTATTATTATTATTATTATTATTATTATTATTATTATTATTATTTTGAATTTGTATACTGCCCTTCTCCCTGAGGACTCAGGGCGGTGAACAGCCAAGTAAAAACATCAAGTACAAATATTAAAATACAGTTAAAATATACATATATAAATTTGGCCCCATTAATTAAAAACAATAAACAAAACACTTAAAAACACTTTAAAAATTAGGCCAGCCCGGCTTGCTGGAAAAGGAAGGTTTTAAGGGCACGGCGGAAGGCACTGAGGTCTTGGATTCTCCTTATCTCTGGAGGCAATTGATTCCAGAGGGTAGGTGCCCCCACAGAGAAGGCCCTCCCCCTGGGGGTCACCAGCCAGCACTGTTTGGCTGATGGCACCCCGAGGAGGCCCTCTCTGTGGGAGCGCACGGGTCGATGGGAGGTCGTCGGTGGCAGCAGGCGGTCTCGGAGATAGCTAGGCCCTATGCCATAGAATAATACAAGCTAATATAGGGCTTTAATTTCATTCACAGTTGTTCCCACCAAGCTATATTCAACAGCAGTTCCTTCTGAGAAAACATGTTTTGGAGTAGGTTGCCTTTTATCCAGGAGGTTTAAAACAGTATCAGCTTTAAGAAAAAAAATATATATAAACTCTTGTTTGCTAAAAGCAAGAGCTCAAAATGAATGCTGGGCTCTCCCAACCAAAACATAGGGTTCATTTACTGACTCATTTGCTCTTTTGATGGACTCCACCATAAACAATTTATTGCCAAATTGATTTAGGGGCTTAGTGTTTATCTGCACAGAATTACCTGCCAGTGTTCCTCCAAATCTTTAACTTGCTGCCGAAGTTCTTTTAAACCCGTAAGAGCTTCTGCTTCTCTTAGTTTCACTGCAATCAATTCTTCTTGAAGTCTAGCAATATTATTCTCATCAGGCAAAGAGCTGTTCCTCTGCAGAAAATGACAAAAGGCACAATATTAGCGCAACATCTACCTCTTGCAGCTACGGGATAATTCACTAGCAGTTATGCTTTAACAATTCAGAATATACTGTAAAAACCATCCCTCCTCCTCAAATAGGGAAACCTTTCTTTTTTGGAAGGAGCATGTTATTTATTTCTTCACTGCAGTGATTAAAGAACTGTAATGATGACAACATGAAAGTTCTAAAGAAGATAGTATCTCTTTGGCTGACCTTATCTGGGCTCAGAAGTATTGAGTGGGAGAACTCCAAGGATATAGGCTTAGGCTGGGAAGTTGAAAAGACAACCCAGAAGAAAGTAACACCAAGCCATTCCCACATTGTAGCAAGGTGGTCACAGTGTTGAATCAGGAGACCTAGATCCTAGAGGAGACCTAGATGAGTCCACCCTCAGCCCCAAAAGCTGTCTGAGTGGCTTGAGCCAGTCATCTTCTCATCTCAGCACGATGCATTTTACAGACTTGTTGCTCTGGAGGAAAATAGGAGACAGCAGTATATACAATGCTATGAGCTCCTAAATGAAAGATGGAACATGAATCAAATAAATCAAGCAGGTAGGCAAGCAAGCTGCCAAGAAAACTATGTGGATCTTTCCATGAAGCCACCAGTAATGAAGGGTTGACTTCCAATTTTATTTTTTTACTGTACTTTCTTTCAACTATTATCTTCCTGCATAGACAACAATTATGTCTGAACTGTAGGGAAATGGCAGTTAACCAACACTCAAACAACATCATCACACCCAGTTCAGGATGCAATAAAAAAAAAAACATAAATTACAATACATTTTAGGTATTCAAAGTTAGCTTGACTGTTTTTATATATAGAAAAGAATAAAAAGAGACAAATCCTCGGCCTGCATTAATAATTTATAGCAAGGGTCAAAATTCTATACAAAGGATTCTCCATTTCTTGAGTGCTTCAACAGAAGACTCATGTCATCTCCCCACCGTCGTACTGAAAATAATTGAATACACAGTAATGTGCCTGATGCTAAATATAATGCACAGATGGAAATATATGGATGAGATGGTCCTTCAATATCTTCAACTAAATCTAATTATGGACATCCAAACATTTCATGAATAAACATTTTATTTTAAAGTAATTAAAACTGACCCATATTTATCATGTACTTTAAATTCTATTCAATTTTCTATTCAATGGAAAATAAATTTTCCAAAGCACCAAAAGGCAAGACAAGAAACAATGGCTGGAAATTAATCAAGGAGAGAAGCAATCTAGAACTAAGGAGAAATTTCCTAATGGTGAGAGCAATCAACCAATGGAATAGCTTGCTTTCAGAAGTTGTAAGTGCTCCATCACTGAAGACTTTCATAAAGAGACTGGACAACCATTTGTTTGAAATGACAGGGTCTCCTGCTCGAGCAGGGGGTTGGACTAGAAGACCTCCAAGGTCCCTTCCAATTCTATTATTCTGTTATGCAAAGTATGTAATGGTCAAAGGATTTGGAAAACTTTGATTCTACAGAGTGTTCATAGTTTGACTTACTTTTTCCATCTCAATAACCTTATCTTGCATTTCCTTCAGGGCACTGTGTGATTCGGCTTCACTTAGTTTTGCTTCGATCAACTCTCTTTGCAACTGCAGCACAAAGTCTTCACTGTGGTGGGAACTGCTCTTATGCTACAGAGCAAGTAAATCCAACATCGGTGTTAACAGAAGGAAAGGAGATATCTTAAAATGCAAAATCATGCACATAATAAAGCAGACAAAAAGACTTTTTTAAAAGCTGTAATATTATAAACAGTAAAGTTTCTTTCGCTAAAATATTTCTCACCAGACCTACAGCATCACAACAAAGACAATGCTACTCCTTTCAAAAGTTTAATATTATGTACACCTTCGTTTTCTTTCCACTGTAATTTTTCCCTAATCCAAACATGTAAATAAATTGTTTCTAAAAGTTGAATGAATGCTGATCTAGTTTTCTTAAGGTCTAATTAAAAAAACTACTCAATTAATCAAAATTATTAACATTTTGTGGTAGTGCTAAAGTTTTGTTCCACTTGACTAACAAACCACCCAGTTCTGAAGATATGGTAGAAATATTTTAAGACTAAAAGGTATGTTTACTTCTCCACTTAGCCACTAAGCCAGTGTTTTTCCAATTATAGGCAATCTGAGTCAGCCAGTCTGCAGCAATGACTAACAGAGAACTCAATCTTTCATTTTTACACTGTTTATTATGAACAAAGCAGCTAGAGCCATTCCTTTCATTGCTGAAAATAAGGTACAGAGATCTACCCACAGCGATCAAGAGTTGGTTAACAGATTTGTATCTGTGCCATTATCAAATGTCATTGAGAGTCTATCAAGGAAATATGTGGCCATTGCCAAACAGCACTATGCACCCCATTACCACCACTGCTTTAAGGATTTCATCTATTGAGTGCAATTGCAGTCAACAAATCACAGCAGCATCAAACATACTCTCACATCCTGTTTGGCTTTATCTAAATGTCAACAGTATTTAATACATTGGCTTAACTGGCTGCAACTATGCAACTGCACAATGGATAATTGACCCTCTTTTCGACAAGTTTTTGTCACTGTAATTTATTGCAAATATCATTCCTATCCTCTGGGCAGCTTACATCTTATAACAGCGTTTCCCCAAACTTTCCGGACTGGCGGACCAGCAGCGGTGGGGGTGGAGGGGATGGTTTTGTGTGCACGCCGCTTTCACAAATGCAGATGTGCATGCACATGCACACAAATGCATGTTTGCCCACCACTTCTGCCGCCCAGTTCCAAACAGGATGCAGCCCGGCACCGGGCCACGGACTGGGGGTTGGGGACCCCGTCTTATAAAACATAATACAAGTCATTAAATTACAACGTTTTAAAATACTGGTCAAGTGTATGATGACAATTTCCTAATAAGCAAAAATCTGTGATTCATCAACCTGGGAAAGAAGATATACATTATGGCATACACTTAAACCTGGAAAACTAAGTCTCCCTTCTCTAAAAATTTAAACTTTCTAAATGAAATAAGGAAGGGAAGAGATAATTTCCCAAAGCATCCAAAATGGTGCATTGACTTTCTGAAACATTTTATGCACATAGAGAGCAAACTTCTTAACTTATGAACTATGGATTCCATAAGACTTTACAGGCGTCTCTGAATCACCACAATTTCAATTTCTTATTTAAACTAAAAAGGAATGAGCAGGTCCTCAATGAAATTTACTTTGGGGCACAATTAAAGTTTTTATCTGTGCAATCTAAATTTATTTCAAGGTTTTAAGGAACTGGCCATTGATTTTTGCATGAAAAATGAGAGGGTATATTTGTAATGATTATATTTATATTCTACCTAGGGAAAGAAAATCCACTTCCGGTGCTATAAAATTAACCATATTAGGTATTTTGTGTACTTATGCACACTTTTCTGCAGCAGAAGATCCCAGCTTTTAAAACATTCTCAAAGATTAGGAACCATTTGTAACAAATACATGTTTTCAAAATATTGTTACAAACATTAGGTTTAAATGAGGCCCAAGTATTGTTTTTGAGAGCAACTCATTTAAATTCAGTTGAATTATCTAAACTTTATGTCTAGTTATTCTCAACTGAATAATATTTATTTGGAACACAATCAAAAATATTAATTTTTTTTTTGACAAGACAAAGTCCTCCTTCAAAGGCATTTGATTTAAAGCAGGGATGTCAAACTCACGTCGTCATCACGTGATGTATCAGGATTTTTTCCCCTTCGCTAACTGGGGGTGGGCGTGGCCAGCATGTGACACATCTGGCCAGCGGGTTGTGAATTTGACACCTCTGATTTAAAGCAACCAACGTATAAAAGGGACTTTAAAAAAGCCATTCAGTATGGAATATTTTTTTAAAAAAATCCACAATTAATTATAGCATACAAAATACTTCCAGAACATCCAACATTATTTTTTTATATTACCTTAGCCTTTTTTAGGCAGCAATACAGCATATAACATTTAAATACACTTAGTTACAATGCTACTGATACAAAATTCTAAATGAGGCCATAAGGTAAGGAACCAGTCTAAAATATAAGACACTCAGAAAAACAACCTTGCTTTTAAACAATACACAATGATGGAATGATAGTGGCAGGCTCTGGATATTATTCATTATAAAGTTTTCACTGAAAGGAAATTTTAGGTCACTGTACTTGAACTGACTATGTGCAGGCAGCATCTGATTTAAAAATAGGGAATGCTTTATATAGCATTCAGTTCCTTCCTGTGGCATCTATCCATTACTTCTCACCACATTCTTCATGGCTACTAAGTCAATGCTAAAATCTTTCTGTACCCTTTTTTAATTACCTCAGCTGAAATGAATTTGCAATCCACTTATCTATTCAAACATTCTAAGAGTCTATATTCTTGTCCAAGGCTATTGAATTCAATGATTTATGTCTGATGGCTGTCTAGGACGATTCCTAAAATCTATATACATACCAAGCAATTTGGAATTCTTTTAAGGTAATATAAATCAATTGGAACTAGAATGTAGCACAAAGCACAGATGCTGAATCAGGATCTGGAAAACATCACAACTACCAAAATGCAAATTCAGAAGAAAAATTTGTTTTGCGTATATTAGACACCTCAAAGAAGTGGAATACTATTTCATATGATATGAATTTAGTCTTTTATTGCTACAATTTGGGCTGAATCACCAGGATTGTTCATATGAGATTGGACTAATCCTATTGTATAAGCATATGCTCTCCTTGGTTATATTTCCAGAATTTAGAATTTATCAATGCATTAACTTTCAGCTGAGGGAAAAGGAACTGTGATGATAAATCTAGACCTCATTAAAATAATGGACTGTTGACATACACTGTTCAACACTAAAATAAGCATTTTTTTTCCATCAAAGGGGCAAAAATAAGATTAAAAAAATATTCAGAAAATTGCCATATGAAGAAATTAAGCTTAAATAAAGTTTTACCAAAAGAACAATTATATTGAAAACTTGAGGCACGTTTTAACAAAACCTATTAGTTATGTTACAGTATTCTAGTAGCCATTCCCTCTCAACTGAACTTATAACAGGTCAGAAAGTTATATAACGAAGATTAAAAATTAACCTAAATTAACCCAAAAAATGCTTGCATATACATACTAAGAACTTTTTAAAAAAAGTTTCTAATGCTGCTATTTATATTATTGATCAGAATGTAATTCTTATTTTAAAAATAAAGCACTTTCGTTAAACAATAAAATGAACCATTGATTTTGCAATGCAAGAATCACAGTAGCAGGATTAATGATTAATGTAAGAGAGTCTACTACAATCTAAGAATTCTGAAAGTGCTTACAAACAAATTTTATTATTGGAAATAACTTCTGAAAAGCCATCTTCTATACTTGCAAAGCTATAACTGTCTCCAGAAAGCTGTATTTTCTTTGTGAGTCCTATCCCATTACAACACTCTACGTTTCTAAATTGTCACCAGTAGATAGTAACAATAGCTTTAATGTTACATTCCATCCTCACCTTCTACAATTTGCAATCATAGGTTGGAACACAAGAAGCATGGCAGAGAGCTAGTCTCCACAATCTCTGTTTTTCACACATGAACTAATCAAGAACAAGAATCTCTTTCTTTCACATGTGAGTTAATCATCCATCTGTTCCACAGAATCCTTAAGATTCCAATCAAGTCTTGTACTTCTGCTTTCTTTGTTATTAGTTCTGTTAGAACCTAACCATAAGAAAGGTATTCTTGCCTTGTGGAAATGTTATTTTTCCTTCTGCTTCCATAATCCCCCACTCAATGGTGAAATTCAATTTTTTTTTACTACCAATTCTGTAGGCGTGGTGTAGCTTGGTGGGCGTGACAGGGGAAGGATACTGCAAAATCCCCATCCCCCCCCACTCTGGGGCCAGCCAGAGGTGGTATTTACCAGTTCTCCGAACTGCTCAAAATTTCTGCTACCGGTTCTCCAGAACCTGTCAGAACTTGCTGGATTTCACCCCTGCCCACACTATTATCATTTCCTAACCCAACCTTATCAACACAAGTAACAGGCTTTAAGGTATTTCTCAGTTATCAATTATTTGTTAATGAACAAATAAAACAGGTTTAGCAACATTTCAAAATTATTTTCTAAAGCTGAAACTAATTCTAGTTTGTAAAAATCATCTTCCGATGTTTTTCAAACAGTACAGACCAAATAAAACTTTCTATATATGGGTAGTCCTCTACTGATGACCATAATTGAGTCCAGAATCTATGTGGCTAAATGAGAAATTTGTTAAGTGAGTTTTGTCCCATTTTACAACTTTTCTTGCCATATTTGTTAAGCGAATCACTGCGGTTGTTAAATTAGTAACACAGGTTGTTAAGTGAATCTGGCTTTCTCATTAACTTTGCTTGTATCGTAAAAGGTGATCATCTGACCCTGGGACACTGCAATAAATGCATAAATGTGAATCAGTTGCCAAGTATCCAAATGTGAATCACATGACCATGAGGATGTTGTAATGGTCATAAGTGTCAAAAATGGTCATAAGTCACTTTCTTCAGTGCAGTTGTAACTTCGAACGGTCATTAACCAAACTGTTGTAAGTTGAGGACTACTTGGATTCAGATACAAAACAACATTTTTGTTTTGGTGAAACTTATTTGATCCAAATTTGCATATGGAATATAACTAATGCATTTAAAAAAATTTCTACAATTGAGGTTCTAACTTTATCCAAATAGGTGCCCTCCAAATGGGTCAGACAGGCTTCCAAAATTGCTAGCTGGAAAACTGCAGTCTATCATATTTGAAGAGCATTAAGTTGATAACGGCTAATAATTTTTAATGGTAACTGTGGCACATTACATTGACAACTTAATGATGCATAGTAAAATGCTTTTATCATCCTTTCCTAAGTGCTTTTTAAATTTCACAAAAATTT